GGCAAAGTGGGCGTTGGAAGCTCGACATGTTTGGTGTCCTGCCTCGAGTGCCTGGAAGTGTTCGTGCATTGTGAGGGTACCATTTCTTTAATGGGTGTGAAAGGGAACCAACAGCCAAACAAGCCATTTAATAGCAAAACAAGCCATTTAATAGCAAAATATGCCATTTAATAGTAAAACAAGCCATAGTAAAACAAGCCATTTAATAGGGTTCCCCCACTTTAAGGCACATGCAAATCACTTACTCATTGAGCGCACCTGCGGCAACCAGCGCGCTGACTCGGTCGCGGTCAGCCGGTCGAGTGCCCACGGCCGCTGCTACCAGAAGCTGCTTGTTGGTGGGGTCCTTCCGATGGTCCGACACTCGCTCCAAACGTTTTTGCACATCTCTTTTCCAGGGGTACCTTCCCCATTCTTTCCAGGGATCCTTCTTTTCAGGAAACCATCAAAAACCCAGGGGAAACAGCCGGTTTTTGAAAAGAACGATGGTTGAAAGGAATGGGGAAGCAACCCCTATATAGATCTTTCTCACTTCCAATCAAGAGGATTGCCGAAAACAAATCAAATAACTTCCTATTTACCACAATGGTTTCCCCAAAACGGTTCTGAAGTCCAGGAAGGGAGTGAGTAATTACGTAGTTGGAGATGTGATTTGCTCATCAATTCCTGATTCTTGTCTAGATCACACCCCCAGCAAAACTGGCTTTGGGATGTGAAAACGGATGTGGAAAAGCTCTTGGACACACCTGCCGCACCTGCCACCAAGGAACACCAGCCGCACACTCACATTGAAGGAGACTCTCAAACATGTCAGTCTTAAAACTTGTGATGCATGATGTTTCTTGCCATCCAACCCAACATCTGCATGCAAACACCCAGCAGCGGAGGCATGCTGTCCTTGGTGGCGTTGGGGAACTCGACATTCTTCTTGATGTCGGTTCGGGCGACCAGGGCAACCAGAAGCCCGCTCTTGGTTAGGATCGGAAGCTTTCCTTCGCCCAGTGGCATGCAAAGCCGATGCAACCATTTTTTGGCGGCTTGTGTTCAAACCAACCCCAATGGACGACAAACAAATGAACTCTTAAAAGGGTTTCCTCCACACAAAGCAGACACTTCCAGCTTGCAAAACGAGGCTGTCTTGTTTTGAGGGTACCATTTTTGGGGTGGGTACTAAAGGGAAGCCAAACGGAAACAAAAAAAAAAAAAAAACGAAACAATGGGGGGATAGGACGCCAAATATTTGTTGGTGGGTCCCCTATGGTCCAGCCTAAAAGAAAGACTGGAAACCCGTGGGTGTTTGTTCCGATTTTAAGACACAGCCTAATGTTGATCCCATCATAATCAACCCCAGCTTATTAATATGGAACTGTTCCCATGCAAAAGTGGTCTGATTCCCCACAGTTCACCCAGGGACACCCCCGTATTTTTGCTTAAACTGGTTGGTTGATTAATATGGGATCAATACCGTGATTCTTTTGCACAGACTCCAGCACCAGTTGAGAGATGGTTTGTCCCATTGTTCGTAGAACCCTGGGTTTTCACCGATTTTAAGACACAGCCGACTCCATCCGTGGTTGCCGTGGGTTCAACCTACAAGGAAAGACAGGACGCCGGCCATTGGTTGGGTCCCCTATGGTCCAGCTCAAAACAAAAACAGGACAGATTTGGTTTTCACCGATTTGTTTGGACTCCGCCGACTCCACCCACCCAGAAAAAACGCAGGACAGATTGGGTGTGGTTCCCGTTTTTTTTCGACACCGCCGACGCCATCCGACTCCATCCGATGCCGCGGCGCCCTTCTTGGTCTTCTGCAGCATGTCGTTGGCCTGCTGCAGCTCGATGCCCTCCTCAGCGGTCACCAGCTCCTTCACCGGCGTCATGATGGCGCTCAGCCGGGTCTTGCGGTCCTAAAGAAAAAGGCCGAGGCTGGAGGTTTCAGGGGCCCGGAGGCTTCAGCGGCCCGGCAGTTTAGGGTGTATATATATATATACATACATATATATATATATATATGTATATGTATATGTATATATATATATATATATACGTCTATTTATATATTTGTGGCTCAGCTAAGTCAGAATCAAAAGTGCTGGGTCCAACATTGGTTGGATCCTTTGGACATTCACACATGAACATGTATCTCCAGTTCCGCGTTCTCTGGGCGAGACATCTGGCCCTGTCCTGGATGAAGTCGGTGTCTCGCTTGGTGACCAGGCCTAAGAGCTTGGCTCCCATCTGCCCGCTCTCGGTGACCGGAAAGCCTGTGAAGCCCAGCTTGCTCTTCAGGTTGTCCAGTTCCTACAAGCGGGGGGCGGGGCGGGGCGGGGTGGTTTCGGTGGTTTCGGCTGGGGCCGCTTCGCTTTGATTTTCGCTTCCCTTGCCTCCAGCGTCATCGTGGGTGCCACACACACCTCGGAGCAAAGATGAACCAGTAAACATCTCGTAGGTATCTGTTGCTACCTGGCTCTTTGGCCACCTGACATGGAAGTGCACAATGCCCCTTTCCAAGAGAAATATCTGTGCACTTCCATTTTTCGTCGGTGAGAGGGTACCCTTTTTGGTTGGTCAATGTCACCCTCTTGATCACTTGGCAACGGCATCGGCGCGACCGCACGAGGCCCGGCAAGAAAACTGTTGGGCGGGCGGGTAGGTGCGCTGGTTGGAAGTTATAGACTGGGGAAGGTTTCTCTGGTGTTGGGGAAATCACAAGGAGACGAAACGCGTCACAAAAAAAAAAAAAAACATGTACACTAGAAAGCTGGCCGGGAAGGATTTCTGGGTGGGACGTTCCCTTCCCAACCTTCTACCCAAGTTTTGATTGTGAGGCTGTTACTCAAAGTATGGCAGGGCCAGCTTGAAGCACAGCCATAGTCATGAACATCGCCTGGAAGTTGCGTTGCAGTTCGGGCTGAAAGAACGACTCAAGTCAGTGGGTGCGATGATCATGGCATATCGGCTTCCCTCCAAATGTTTGGATTGGTGGTTTGGAGGTGTTTCGATTTTTTCCCATTTACCCACAAGAACCAGAGTTTCAAATCCCCAGTTCCCACCAATCCAAACTCCACACCACCAACTCGGGGATATGTGAGATCAAAACAGCTTCTTTCTGTGACTGAAGCCAAATAAAACCTGATGGAACGGGAAAAATGTGTTAACACATGGTTGCCAGTCCTTGGGACTTCGGACCTGGGACAAAGCAGCTGGGGGGTGCTGGGGTGCTCGGCAGTCATGGGGATTCAATCACAAACCAAACATGTCTGAATCGCATACCCTCCCACCAGTTAACATGGAGCCTGACATTTGGTTTGGACCATTGTCCTAAAAGGGACACCAAAGAACGTCATCCATGCGAAAACCATCTTGTGGGAGGGTACTTGGAAATCATCCCCAAGTCCATCGATGCGCTGAGCGGCGGGATCCAGGATGAAGCCCGCCTTAAACTTCTTCACCCTCGCCACCTCATTGGCCTGCCCTTCCACCGAGAGGTTGGTGTGGATCACACCAATGCCGCCTGAAGCGGGAACCCCCAAAATGGGAAGCGGCTCCTTTTTTTCTGTTGGGAAACCCCTTCAACAACAAAATATGTTCGGGGGCCGTCAACACAAAGACACGCGTGACTTGGAGGAAGTAACTTCCGAATCCAGTTTGGAGCACACAGCGGCTTAGCACCCGGCCTTCCAAAGCCATAGCAATAGCCATGTTGGACTCTGTAACGGTGTCCATAGGGCTGGACACGATGGGTGTCCTCAAACTGATCTTGCGAGTGAAGCGGGTCGACAAGCACACATCCTCAGTCAGAGCACAGATTCATCCATCCCAGTGCAGGTTTGTCTCCACAACTTCACAAAAGACCTCGCCACATGGGTTGTGTTTCTTGGCTTTCTCTGTTTGAACAACAAACACATTGCTTTGCGGGCCGGAGGGGGGGGGGCTCAAAACCCCCAAAACGCCTGGCTCAAGCTGAGGTCGCGGCGTGCACTCCGAAGTTGATGTGGCCGGGCAAGCAAATGAGGTCATCATAGGTGTAGCCGCTCATAGCGGTCTTCGACCCAAAAATGTGCGAGGCCGAAAAGCCATCCTCAGACAGGGCGGCCGGGTCTTCCAACGAAAAAAAAGGAGCCCCGGATGTTGGTCATTCACTCAATAAGACCTTCTAGGGCTGGGATTCGAATCCCGCTATGGAGCCATATAAGGGAACCATGGGCAGCCATGATCAGCATTTAAAGGAAAACGACAAACATAAGGGGATGCTGCCCGCTCCCTAACGCAAATAAGGCCAGCGCCATCAAGTCGCTTTCCGTGAGGCTTGACGGGTCTTTCCTTGGAGTCCATGCACACTGGAAACATGGAGCAAGCCAACTTGGTTGCTGCAACGACCCCTCTGCAAAAAAGTGGATCACTTATTGTGGGTTTAGTGGAAAACCCCTTGATTTCTCAAAAAGATAAAGTCTAAAGAACCAACCCAATAGCAGTCAAGGCCAAGGTGCATCTCCTTCTTCGGTGAGCGGCTGCGATCCTCCAGGTCAGATGCTTAAGCCTAGGTTCTCCAGTAGAGAGGTTAGAATAAGGGTACCCGATTTGTTTCTTTTTAGTCTATTTTAGTAGGGGAAAAAGGGCACTACTGGGGGACCTAGAAGCGGATCCCATCGAAACGTTTCGATTCGAAAAATCCAAAGTTGGAGTCCTTGCCGTTCTGCTGGGGAGCCATGGCTGCACGGAATCGGAACTGGCTTGAACCTCAAGAATGACCTGCGGGATGCGGGCGCGGATCATCCGGCCACACTTCGCTGATGTGAGTACGCCCAGTAGCCCATAGGTGGCTTCCGCAAACCTTCTTGGAAACCATCGAAATGGGGCTCATCAAACTACACAGAATTGGACATCACCCCATTGTGAGGCAATATTCCTTTTTTGGGGGTAATTCCAGAGTCCGGGTCCCACGACTTTTGATCATCGGACTTTTGATCGGCCAGCCCACGACAAGTCTCTGACACCGCCTCGCATCAGACTCCAGCAGTTCGCCAGACTCAGAATCCTGAGTTCACCATATCTCAAAATGGACACCTTTCTGGTTGGTGCGTATTCGAAGAAGAAAAAAAGAAAAAGAAACCTTAGAACGGGAACATCACTCGAGGATTATCTCACTGGTCTCTTTTTGGGGTTCAATGTTGCTCCGTGTGTGAGTGTGTCTAAATAGCAACTTGGACCCCCACGATGATCTCTCTTTCAGCTTCCCTTTAAACCCATCCTCCAACCACCCCACCACAAAAAGAAACACCAAGGTCCGTTCTCCTTTGGTTTCCCTTCAAATCCACCCACCCACCCACCCCCCTCCCCCACAAAACCACCACAAAAAACAACTCGAGAAACACCTCACACCAAAAGCCTCGCCTGCCCTGCCCAAAAGCTCTCAGGCCAACACGCGTGGTTCTGGTCCTGGCTAGACAAGAGCGTGAGAATTTGTGGTCAAGGAGAACCTCGCTTTGAAAAATCGAAAGATTTGGAACCTTTGGACAAGTGCAACGCCAGTTGCCAGTCTGTAGTACATTGTTTCTTTTACTTCCGGAACTCGTGTCCCAATTTCTGTGCCCCATTGAACCTCACAGGACGGCTTAAGGGAGCCAGTGGAAACTCGTGTGAGCGGGCCACATTTAGAACAGCAGCCTGGCCTGTCTGCACCTCCCAGCGCGACAGCAGCTCCAAACACCTGGCCGGATGGAGCAGGTCGCATTAGTTCTAGGGATCTAAACCTCTTTTTTTTTGTGGGGGTGGTTCTTTCTGGGTTCCCTGTTTTTGGGATTTCAGTCGAAACCAATGGAATCCAAACCTATCTCTCTTTGTTTTTCTTCTGAGGGTTCCCTTTTTGGGGTGTTTCTTTTGAGGGAAAACTTCAAGGAAAGCCCTTGCGTCTTAAAAGTTCTAGGGGTTGATTCCGGGTTCATTCTGTTATCAACCATCGTTCTTTTCAAACACCGGATCCGTTTTCCCAGGGTTTTTGGTGGTTTTCTATGATTCGGATCCCTGGAAAGAATGGAAATGGAAGCTACCCTTAGAATTATTTCACCATCACAGTCACCTAAGCGACACGGATGGTTGGAAGAGGGTGACCAAATTCGCCTTCCCGAGAACCGGCTCCATGGTTTTGTCATGATCATGGTAACCCCCGTGCAGAGGGAGGCTAACGGCAAACTACCAACCATTTTGTTGACTCTGACAGAGAAGTTGAGTCGCCAGTGAAGCAGCGATGGGAGACAGGTCTGACACTACTGATAGACTTGCTCCTGAAGCCTTCAAATGCGCATCCTTGCATTGCAGCTCAACACGGACCCAAATCATCTGGTTCTTCCATGAACCGCTCCGTTTGAATCTAAGTGGATCCCATAAAGAATCCTATCTCGAAACTTGCGAATTATTATGCTATCAGGGAATCAACCCTATTGTTGATTCCCTTTGCGGGGATTCCACTGCCCAAACCCGTTGGGAACTTCGCTGACCAGCGAGTTTGAGATGGCCTATGGGGGAGTTCAGGGCTTGGGGGTGGGGGGTCTGGGGTTTGTTCAGTTTTTGCTTCCTTTGTTTGCTGGGTGGGGGAAAATCCGCATGTTTTCGACTCTCTACGACTTCGGCTTACAACTCCAAAACCTGAAGTGAAGGTCCTACATGGTTTTCGCTCGTTTACCCCCAGCTGAGCTCATGAACTAGGCAGATAGGTCTGGGCAAACGACTTTCATGTCGCCGCGGGCAGAACCCTTCAGCGCAAAATGGACATGAATCTTAAAGGACCCCCACAGGGTGGCCGTACTTTGGGGAGAGCAATGTCCACCAATAGCCACTTTGAGTGGGTTCCCTGACTATCTTGCACAACTGGGCTGTCCTCAGATCCCCCGCTGAAAAATTAACTTGTAGCTGGTTCATAGAAACCCAAACACCTAAACTGACTAAAAAACAAAAAACATGCAAGGCACCGGATGCCTGGGAACCCAGTTAGAACATCGCCCAACGCACCTCAGCCCTTGGGATGACCGGTCTCACCGCGACCACCGCGACCACCGCGCCTGACCACCGCGCTGGCGGGCCCGGCGTCGCGCATCGCCAGGTGTTTCAGCACTGCCACGAAGCCCTCGCGCAAGGCCTGGAGCTTCCGAAACAAAAATTGAATTGAAATAAACGAAGCGAAACGCGGCCTTTAGGAAGCTGGTTCGATAGGCAGGGAACAAGGCAGGGAATGACGCCGTTTCTGGTTGCTGAATGAAACAAAACAGAATCCATCCGATTTGGTTTCCTTTAAGCGAATGCATGTTCAAAAAAAACACGCGTCCCGACAAACCACCAGAAAGTTTTCAAACATGTCGAAATCAACTGCCAAACCAAGAAAAAACGCATGCGTCGCACATTATTTGCTTGATCAAACATGTTCAAATTTCTAGTGCCCAAACAACAGTGGGTGGGTGCTGGGGAGCGGGATTCCTTCTGTAGGTTAACTGAGGGATTGAGTCC